GCGGGTAAAGGAGGTCATGGTGACGGGAGGAGGCTTGACTGGGGTGATGAACGCACAATACAATATATAGGTGATGTATTGTAGACTTGTACACCTGAAACCGATATAATTTTATTGACCAACGTCACCCCAATAAAGTCCAGAAAAAATAACCACAAAAACAAGCAAACAAAAAATTTCCCCAAAAGCTTAAGGAATTTAGTTACGACTTTTATAAGTTTAAAAAACACAACTCAGTTAACATAATTTTGCCTCGGTATTCCAAATCCAGATATATTCAGATCGGGTAGAGAATTTTATTTTTAGTTGCTTCATGGAGTCACAGGGAGAAAAACCCGCTTGCATCCTTTTAGAGCAGATTTTCCTTTCTCCTGGGCCGTTTCTCTCCGCGAGGGGAAGGGCAGACTGTTCCGCGGGTCTGCGGGAAGCCGTCGGGTGTGGCCCTTGTCACTCTCCCCACGTCCTAGGGGACGGGCAGCTGGACAGAAGCATCGGATGCAGCACAAGCGGAGCTGGTGCTGGGCTTGGAGCTGGTCAGTCCAGGGCTCCTGCCCAGCAGGCTGTGTGAGCAGCGGCACCGGAATCATGTTTTCTGTGTGGGGTGTCATGTTCAGTCCATCTGTGAAAGCGGTGCTGATCACCTGTGTGCCCTCGCCCAGGGAAGGTGGCAGTCACGTGACTGGACTCTGTTTTACCACCTGTTGGTCTCCACGCCCGTCAGCTGTCCTGCTCAGTGCTCTCCCGGGCGCTGAATCACACAGCTCCGAGCGGCCTGTGCAGGCGGTGGTGACGGCCTCCCGTGTCTTCTGCTACCAGTTTGTAGCCAGCAGCTGCTGCCAGCCACCCGCAGGGTTCTGACGTGGCCGGACGTGGGACACGGTGTGCCCCTGAATCCAGGCTATCCTGCAAAACAGTCTGCTGTATAGTCAGGCCTGTTTATTTTCGTTTCAAGGGAAGTTGGCGAGTGTGTGGATTTCCCATTTCACAGAAGCGTAACGAGTCTCTCTTAGATCATGTTAGCACCTAGGCCCTGTGGAAACTCTTACTGAGCGAAGGAGAAGGTTGCAAAGATGCATTAGGGAGCCGTGTTCTCGGCACAAGCAGGTGCGGGAGGTACAGAAGCCCTTAGAAGTACTTCATGCAGAGGGGCGTGGTCTCTGGCTCGGAGGGGGTGTTACCAGGATGTTAATGGTGGGAGAGGTCCTTGTGAGAGATGGAACAGAAAGAAGAGGGGGCATTTCAATCACTAACGTGAAAGTGTGCAGGAGGCGTGTGTGTGTGTGTGTGTGTATTTGGTGAATCACCACCTAATTTAGACGCATGGGAACATGTGCAGCATCAGTAGAAAGTTTAATTGCTGAGAACAGATCGGGGGAGGTTGGATGACAACCTAAGGGATGCACACTATGTAGCTGGCGGTCACTGGGGATCTCTGGAGGATATCAGAGCCAAAGATGGACATGAGCCCGGCTTGAGGGGGAAGTTTCAGGGGAAACGCTCATTTTTGCCTAATTCCAGTTAAAGTGAAGCTTGGAAGGAAAGAAGCTTGGAGCTGTGTAGACTGACTTAGCACAGACCTGGCGATGGGACCCCGAGAACTCCACGCATGTGGCCGTAAGGTCAGGGAAGGTCAAAGGAGAGAGAGGTTGCGGAGGAAGCAAGGGTGAGATCCACTTTCTTGTACCTGTGATTATCACAGAATAGGATAAAGACAAGGAGAAGCCAGGTTCCCTGGACATGAACGTGAAGAGCTACCAGAAGTAGGAGGTAGTGGAAGGGAGGGACCTGAATTTGATATGCCAGTGGGGTATTTGACTGGAAATGCATGGCAAGTAGTAGTGATGATGGGCTGGTACTCAGAGAAGTCACTGGGGCTGGAGACGCAGCACTACGGGTGACAGGGCTGGGGGGCGATGTATCTGAGAGCAGGAGCCGGCAGGAGGAACATCCGGACTTTCGAAGAGTAGTTCGGAGGTGGGAAGTAATAATGTGAACATCCCAGGGGGAAATGCTGCACGATTCTGTAACTAATTAGACGCGGAGAGTAAAGAAATAGAAGTAATGACGTTCCTGGGTCGCAGTGGCATCGCAAGACAGAGACGTCGTGGTGCGGGGAGCTTTGGGGCCATGCTACATCGTGGGGGTGGATGGTTGGGTCGTGAGTGGTGAGAGCGATGAGTTTTGTTTGTGTATTTAAATACGATGCCTGAGGAGAGTTAAAATGCTATGTTTCATAAACTGTCAAAGATTTTTGCAAGAGGGTGTCTGGGGCCAGAAGAGACTTTGGGCAGTTAAAGGGAAGGAGAAACTGACCGATGAAAAGCAGAAGGCCCCAGAACAGAAACATGGAGCTCGGGAGCTAGAGGTCAAAGAGAAGCAACGATTTGGATTTTGTGGAAGGATTATTGGGTCTAAGTACAGGAAGATGAAGGAAATACAACAGAAGCTCTGGAAAGAGGGTGTCAGGAAGAAAGTAGTAGCAGTAGAGCCAAAGAAGGTGCCTGGATTAAGGGAACCAAGCATGAAAAGCCCCTGGAACAGGTTTGGGTGGTGGGGGGCTGATGTTTCGTTGGCACAGGTAGAGGAACGGGGGGCAGGTGCAGGAGGTGGGCTGTGGGATCAGCCCCGCCCTTACCTATCATCATTTCCGTAGGCGAGGCTGCGCTACGGGTGCCTTATGCGCAGTTAACTGTGATTCCTTTTCCTCTGTGGTTTAAGAGATTTTCTTTAATCTTTCTCTATTAAACCTTGAAAGTTTGTTCTTCCTGGTCTTTTACTCCTTCCCTACATCCGTCTTCCGAGTGTCCTAGATGCCATCGTTCTAGAAGTCCGTAGACTTCCGTCTCTTCAAAGTTGATTCTGAATCTATGCATCAGATCTGACTTAAAATCCGAGAAGTTCTTCTAAGAGACCTCAACTAGGAAGTCAAGTCCTGGGAGCTGTGATTCTTAATGCCCTTTCCTACCCCAAGAGCAATACTTTCCTGGCTGTTGTTCCACTGTCATTTAAGGCTGGAGTCCAGTCCTGTTATTTATGTTTCAGTTTTGAGGGTGCAAGAAGTAAGACGGGGGGGCTCAGAGACCGGTCGGTCTTCACAAAATACTGATGATCTGAGGCTCTGTGGCAGCTGAGAGGCAGCATCCTTGTCTTAGGAGGAGAGTTTTGTTCCTGAAGTTCTTCTGTCACTGGGCTTGCTCCTTCACGCACAGCTAATCCGTGAACAATGGACGAGTGTTTGCAAAGGCCTCGGACTTGTTGACAGGTGACTTCACGGTGGAAGCCAGTTCGCATTTCTAATCTGATTCTAGAGGAGACCAACTCAGGACGCAAGAATACCCCACCGTCTCTCCACTCGTGGGTTCTGGGTTCCTCCTTCCCCCACTGTGTTCGCTCGGAGTGGTCGGCGGACATGGTCTGAGCCCTCGGTCATAGAGGCTAGACCTCCGGTGGGAGGGGGCGCTGGGGGAACCTGAGGGCTGAGCCGGAGCTTGGAGGAGGAGCTGGAGGGCCTCAGAAAGGACAACAGTGTTCAGAATTCACCCCGCGGCAGACAGGGCAAAGGGGCAGGAAGGAAATAGAGCTTTTCTAGGGACGTGAGAGAGCAGAGCCCTAATCCTTTCTCGTACCTTTGGCCCTTTGTGTTTATTCTAATTTAATTTAATTTAGTTGTTGTAACAGCCCTGAGGCGTGCGTAGGGCCTATGCCCATTTCCCAGATGAACTAGTCGAGGTTCAGCAAGTGAAGGAAATTGTAGGCAATTTGATGACCACTGCAGGCAAGCTGATGACCTCGGGTTGGAACTGGTCCTGGATGGCTCAGAAGTCCTTTGCCCACACCATGTCACCTTCAGAGGGACGGGACTAAAATATATTTATATGAAGACGTTTTTTCATGGTGTTTCTGAAAATCCTGGACCATGTGTGCATTTCTTTGATTTCTCTTCCCCATTTGTTTCTTTGTCTGTGATTCATTCTTTTGGTTGACACACTACTGTCGCCCTCAGGAGACAGACCGGTTCTGTTTGCATCCAGAACAGAAAGTGCCCCAACAGCTCCGGGCGAGTTGGGTGTGCCCCTCGACTGCGTCCCTTCTCTCTGGAGGGAGGCGAAGCACAGCTGTGGCTGTCAGGCAGGGAGTGCAGCTGTGGTCAGCCGCCAGTGGACCCCAGGGCACATGCTCGAGTGTGCCCAGCTCAAGTTGCTGCAGGATTGGCATTTGTCGGTGCCAAGCTGTGGAAAGAATTCTATGCACCCTGTAGGAAAACTTGCACAATGCCTCATACTTCATGTGCCACATGTTCTCATGGAAATACCATGAGTCCAAGCTTGTCCGCATACAGCCAGGCTGCCGGTTGCCTGATTCATGGCCTGAGGAATTCTGGTTATCACTTGACCTTGCAGACTCGTGTTGCCGCTGAGATCTTGGGACAAAGCTATGTTGTTTTTTTGTTTGTTTGGTTTTTTTTATCCTTACCCGAGGATATTTTTGCATTTATCTTCAGATAGAGCGGGAGGGAGAGAGGCAGGGAGAGAGAGAGAAACATTGAAGTGAGAGAGACACATCGAGTAGTCGCCACCCACACGACCCCCGCTGGGGCCGAGGTACATGCCCTTAGCGGAAACCGAACCCGGGACTCCCTGGTCCGTGGGCCAACGCTCTAACCGCTAAGCCAAACTGGTCAGGACCAAAGCTGTGTTTTCATCCTGATTTTAATGCAGTTAGGTTACAGATGATGTATATTCTGTTCAACTATTAATATATATTAATACATAATTAATAATATATTAATATATTAATATTAAATATAGAGAAAAGTACGGTGTTGGCCGGTAGATGATCACCTTGAGAAAAACAACAGACTCACTGAGGACAACTAAGAATAGCAAATTGAAAATCTCCTTGCTTAGATGTCTCCACTAGCCTCTTCTCCTTTTTTTTTTTTAATTCAAAATGGTGAAATGAAACTAACAGAGAGTATTTCCTTTTTTGCTATTTTGCAGAAAAAACCGCTGTCTGCCATAATAAAGGAAGTCTGTGATGGGTAAGTGTTGTTGCTCAGGATTCATCCGAGATTCTCCAGTCCACAACCTGAGAGGCAAATAAAAATTCCTGGGTGATTGTCAAATGTCATTCACACGTCACCCCGTGACCTGCCCAAAGACACCGAGAGTTACAGTGTAGGATCTGCATGGCTTCTTTCCACCAAAAAGTTACTGTTGTCCCTCAGCGAGGAGGAAGAGAGGAGAAGGTGAACTGGCGGCGTGTGCACCGGGGTGGGTTCTACTTACTTCGGACACTTGTGCTCGCCGGTCCTTGTTAGCAGGGAACCGTCTGCATTCCGCAGCTTAAATACCCACCTCACTGCATTTGGTACAAATGGCGAGGACCGCTCAGGTCCCCGTGGAGATGAGATAATTTAAAAGACAAGTCAGAGGGCCACTCTGCTGCCGCGTGGCCGTCACCGCAGTCTGGCGTCCCTCCTTCCCTCTGGCCGCTCAAGCCGTCGGGGAAAGCACCCACACACCCACGCGTGTTTTCTTTCACTGTTAAAGCAGAACGGTGACTGCAGGGTTACCTGGCACTTAGCGAAGGCCTGGGATGCTTCGCTGGAATGACCCAGTTTGCGGCAAGCACCGTGCCTGGGGGCTGGACTGGGAATGGAGCAGTTATCGAAGCTTAGATGACATTCGTCTTCTTCGTGGTCCCCTCTCTGCTCCACTCCTTCAAAACAGGGAAGAAAGTGACTTGTGTTTAAATAGCCACCCTGGCCCAAAGCCATGGAGGTGAGATGCTTCCCGGCAGGCAACAGGTGTGGAATAAGGCCTGGATCCCGTAGGGGACGACGGGTCTCTGGGTGACAGGTGGCCTGCTGTTTTGCTTTAGAAACTGCACTGTGGGGTGTGTGGAGTACTGGCCCAGTTCCAGGGACTGGGTGTTTAAGTCATCTAACTCCAGCAAACTGCGGACATTAAAATGACCGCTCACTGTTTTTCTGACCAGTGTATGCTTATATTTATATTTTCAGGTGGTCGCTGGCCAACCACGAGTACTACGCCCTGCAGCACGCCGACAGCTCCAACTTCTACATCACGGAAAAGGTAGGTGGGCCCCAGGAGCTGACGGGGACACCGGCCGTTTATGGAAGTGAAAGTGTGACTGACGGCTGCTGTCAGGCCTCGGCGTGCTGGTCTCTCTTGCTCAGGGACCCTCCACGGAGTGGACTGTGCGCAGCCGAGAGCTGCCAGTCGCGTGTTCACAGGGCGGCACTGAGCCCGCCCGTCCAAGGACGAAGACCAGATCTGTCCCTCCGTCCTGTTTTAGCAACTGCACTTGCCTTCTAACAGTGAATTTATCCCTTGTCTCTCTGATCACTTGGTTAAAGCATCAACGTGATGCCTAATGCCAGTCTAGCACCCTTTCTCAGACACCCCCACCCCCCTGCTCGGGGCAATGCCTGATCCTCTTCGAGTAGCTGGGGATTGTGCTTTAGGAGGCTTGGAGGAGCAGGAGGCAGTGGTAAAGACAGCGTTGGCTCAGGCCACTAGGGACACCAGTGTCTTCGAGTTCCCCAGTACGAGACGGAGCGCGAACATTCATTCAGAGCCCACCGGAGGCGGGACGTGGGCCAGGCGTGTTACAGCTGTGTGCTGATTTCTTCCTCATGTCTCGCCCGTGACGCAGACGACACTGGCTGTGGCTACAGACAGGAGACCGGATCATACATGTCCGGGGTTTGGGCAGGATCTCAGGCAGTGGGCGAGGGTGTCAGGAAGCAAGTCCAGATCTTTGGGGGCTTCTATCCCTTTTCCTTTGGGGGATTTCCAGAGGTGTTGAGCGTTGGGCTCAGATTCACGGAGCCAACATTGTCCTTGCGGAATATGTGAGCTGCGCAGTCAGTGGGGAGGGAAGGGACAGCCCGGTGGACAGTTTTCACCGCAGCGAGACGGTCAGCAGGGGTGAAGTAGATTTGCAGTACTCTGGGAGGAGGGAGAACGGGCAGCCTCAGGCCCCGGGCTTCTTCCTCCCAATTAGCGTCCCTAGACCCAGGGACCCAGGAGTCCAGTGGTGGAGGGTGGGCTCAGTAACGGGGTCTTGAGCCCACTGTGATGATCTCTCTACCTTGAGGACTGTACGTGGGAGAGTGGGGGGCATTCATCTAGTCCAGAGGGGGCATAGCCACAGCCTTGAAATGCTTTCAGAAGCTGCTTTGCGCTTCCCAGACGGACACTGGCATTTTCATAACTCATTGTGTTTTCCTCGCCACCCGGTTGTCAGGTGGCTGAGCCTTCGCAAGTGGACTGGGTTTGCTGCCCGTGCTGTTAATTTTACTTGTTCCCTTTGTTTCATACCACAGACAGTTAGTTCCCTGTCCTTGTTTTCCCCTTGCGTCATTTTCTTAATATTTTTTATTTATTTGATGCTGCCTTTACATAATCTGCATGCTATTCTTGGTAAGAGAAAGGAAATCAACAGAGACACGTTCACTCTTAGCAGGGGGATATATTGCTGTTGACATCCTCAAGCAGAAGACGGTCTCATTTCAACCCGGTTCACCCTTTAAAGGCAACAAACACATTGTGACTTTGGGGGTATTGTTGGAAAAGACTGGATGGTTTTCTACTATTTGAGGTACAATGTGAAAATGTGTAAAAATTGCCCTGGCTGGCTTGGCTGAGCAGCAGAGCATCGGCCCGCTGACCAATGAGTTGCAGGTTCGATTCCAGCCAAGGGCACATACCTCGGTTGCAGCTCATCCCTGGCCCTGGTCGGGGTCGTGCAGGAGGCAACCATTCGATGTGTCTCTCACATTGATGTTTCTCTCTCTTTCCTTCCCACTTTATCTGTAGATAAGTAGAAAAATATCCTCAGGTGAGAATTAAAAAAAAAAAAAAGTCTAAAAATGATTAAGTGATAAAATTATAGAAAAGTAGAAGTTATAATGGGGTTTTTCAAATATCACCAATTAGTCCATAGTGAAATCAATTTAGTTGGTGTAATAGTATTAAAACTTGGAATATAAGAGATAGGCTAGATCGCAGGACATCACCTGTGTAGTTTGTGAAATACTTGTGTTATACATACATATGTAATACATGAATTTCTGCTGGATTCTTTTTTATTGATTTTAGAGAGGGAGGAAGGGAGAGGGAGAGAGAGAAATGGAAAACATTGATGAGAGAACATCGATTGGCTGCCTCGTGCATGCTCCCCGCTGGGGACCTGGCCCAAAACCCGGGCATATGTCCTGGCTGGGAATTGAACCGGCGACCTCTTGGTGCATGGGTTGACACTCAAGCACTGAGCAACACCAGCTGGGCTCTGCTGGATTTTTACCCTGGGTTGTGGGCCACAAGCCACTGAGTCACTTATAGCCTTGTCTTTGATTAATCTCTCTTGTCTTGTGCCCCCTGGGGGCTCACCATAGTTCGTTGGAGATTCCTAAGGATGGGATTCGCAGACTGGGGAACATAAGCATCACAGGGAGAACCTAGATTTTTAGAGCACAGCCCCTGATGATTCAGATTGAGAGGCCTTGGATACAGCTCAGGATCTTGCATTTAAACAGCCCTCCTGGAACTCTGGGGCCTCTGGGAGGACCTCTGCGGGGGGCACTCTTCTGAGAGATGGGCTCTGTGTGTACTGGCTCTGTGCACCATGAATGGAAGGTAGGCGCTAAGTTTGACTTAGGAGTGTGTTTGTGTGTGGCCAGTTCTTGGGATAATTTTAAAATTCATGTAATATTTATGCTTTTGTTCTAATTAAAATTAATATAGACTCAGAAAGCCTAAACGACACAGAACAGTGGGAAAATGATTATTTTATTGGGCATCCTAGTCATTTTCTGGGAAATCTTGTTTTGCCTGAGGAAGTTCTTAATGTTGCGTTTAAAAGGGTCTGCCACCTAAGTCTGGCATCTGATCTGGTCCCCTTCAGGGAGCAGTAGTAGCAGGGATTCTTCTTTTATTAAGAGTTTGGGAAGTGAGGAGACTCATCTTCCCAATCGTAGTCCTTTGTGGACAAGACGTCACGCCCCCTTCCTCCTGCAGCTGCGTGTGTGCGTCACACAGAACTCAACACATGCAGGGCAAGAGAAGGACTTGAACCCTGTGTCCACAGGGGCATACCCGGCTGCCTTCAGTCTGCTGTTAGGTCCATCTAGCTCCTTGCAAGTATTCCTAAAATTAAAGCCCATTTTCCAATTTTTCAAGTAATTCGTTTAGCATCATCTTGGTTACTTACAGCCCAGTGAGTTGTTAGGTAATATTTGCATTACCATGGTAACTGGTGAGTCATTTTTGAAACCTCTGTGTGTTCTTAGTGACTGATCTGCCCTTGTATACGAGGTGGTCTCCCTTCCTCTGCCAGAGCTTAAATAGGACCTGTCATTGTAAAGAAGGAGAGTTCTCCAGGCCCGGCAAGCTAGCACAGGTTGTGACCGATGGCTGGAGGAAGGGCCCTCCCTACTTTGCTCATGCTACCCAAGCCCAGTTTCTGTCATGCACTGGGGAAATGTCTTGATGTTGAGCATCTTTAAACAGAAGTGTAGCAAGTGCCTTAGAGAAAGTTAAGATGCAGCTATTCACAAATTCAGATTCTGCCCCAGGAACTTTTCTATCTCAGGGTTATGTCGGGGGGGGGGGGCAGGGGGCGTGGGGTACGGGGAGAGAATGAAAAGTGAATTGTGTATTTTTCAGCTCTATTGATGTATAATTGACAAATAACACTATGAGATATTCAAGTGTACATCATGGTAATTAGATATACGTGTACATTGTGAAAGGATTCCCCCATCTAGTGAATTAGCACGTCCATCACCTCTTTTGTTTAATTATTGATTTGGTGAGAACATTTCAGTTCCACTTCGTCAGCAGATTTCAGTTATATAACACAGTGTTGTCGACCATAATCGACATATTCTACATGAGATCCCCGCCCCCTTTCATCTTATAGCTGAAGTGTGTACCCTTTTCCCAACCTCTCCCTATTTCTCCAGCCCCTCAGCCCCTGCAACCACTTTTTACTCTGTTTCTATGTTGGACTTTTTTTTTTAAGCTTCCACATACAGTATAAGTAATACCCTGCAGTGTTTGTCTTTCCATGTCTGACTCATCCCACTTGGCATAATGCCCTTAAGGTCCATCTATATTATTGAAAATGGATGGGTTTCCTTCTTTTTCATGGCTGAATTATATTCCATCGAGTATAGATGTACCGCATTTTTTTTTACTCATTTATCTGCTGACTTCACTGACTTTGTTTTTATATTTAAATGCTGCAGTGAACATTGTGGCACATACATCTCTTTGATAACCTGTTTTCATTTTCTTGGGCTATACACCCAGAAAGTGAGATTTTTGGGTATTGTGCTAGTTCTGTTTTTTAATTTTTTAAAAAAACTTTCATACTGTTTTCCATAGTGACTGCACCACTTTACATTCCCATCGACAGGGTATGAGGGTTCCCATTTTTTCTACATCCTTGACAACACTTATCCCCCCAACTTTTTTTGATGATAAGCATTCTCACAGGGTGAGATTAACTCTCATTGTGGTTTTAATCTGCAGTTTCCTGATTATTAATGATCTTGAGCATGTTTTCATGTACTCACTGGCTATTTATATGCCTTCATTTTAAAAAAAATGTTTTTATTGATTTTTTAGAGAGAGAGGAAAGGAGAAAGAGATAGAAACATGGATCAGCTGCCTCCTGCACACCCCCTACTGGGGATTGAGCCTGCAACCTGGGCATGTGCCCTGACCGGGAATGGAACCAGGACCTCTCAGTCCGGGGGACTACGCTCAGTCCACTGAGCCACACTGGCCGGGCTGTATGCCTTCTTTTGAAAAATGTCTATTTAGCTCCTCTGTCCATTTTTAAATCAGATTGTTTGTTTGTTTTTGATATTGAATTGTGTGAGTTCTTCATATATTTTAGATATTAACCAGTTATCAGATATATGATTTACAAACACTCTCACCCATAGCTTGCCTTTTCGTCCCGTGAGTGGTTTCCTTTGCTGTGCAGAAGGCTTTTACTTTGAATGCAATCCCGCTTGTTGATTTGTGTGAAGTGGCGTTAACTTTAAATATTCCAGTGG